GATATTAGCCATAAAGTACAAAATAGCCAAGCTTCAATCCATAGACCCAATGAGCCTAAGTAGCATAGCAAGGAGGTCTCAAGGGAGAACGTGTGAATCTTACTCAGAAGAGGAAATACAGTAGACATCTGAAGTAGATGGTGGATGAAACTGGGGTCCACCAGTGGGGTCGGGAGGGGAGAAAGGATGGGTGTCAGGTGTGAGAAGAGGGGAAAAAAGGAGTGGGAGAAAGAAAGAGAATTGTTGGGTGGGCATCTCTGGGATGGGGAGGTTCCTGAGAGTTTATGTAGATGACCATAGCTAAAACTCCTGGCAGGGAGGAGTATGGAGCCTGAAATGGCCACCTTTTGTAGCAAAATGGTACTTTCAATGGGGGAAGGAGAACACCAACCCATAGAACCTTAGACACAATTTTGTCCTTTCTACAACATGTGTAGGGATAAATGCCTTGCAGATACCAGGGACACAAGGTGCATACCTCAATATAATAAATGTAATATACAGCAAGCTCTCAGGTAACAATAGACAAAATGTAGAAAAATTCAAAGTATTTCCAATGAAATTAGAAACAAAACAAGGTTGTCCACTCCATATACTTACTCAATATAGCACTTGAAGTCTTATCTAGAACATTAAGACAACCAAGGAGGACAAGTTGATAAAGTGGGAAGGGGGGAATTCAAAATATCTCAATTTGCAGATAGTATGATTGTATATTCAAGTGACCCTAAAGATGCCATCAAAAACTCCCTACAGCTGATAAACACTTTCAGCAATGTAGTAAGATACAAAATTAATACACAATGTCAGCAACCATCTTTATAAAATGATAAATGTACTGAGGAAGAACTTCAGAGAAAAAATAATACCATTTGCAAGTATCTCAAAGATATCTTGAGGTAATTCTAACCAAGCAAGTGAAAGATATGTATGATAAAAATACTAGTTATTGACGTAGTACATTGAAAGGCTATCAGTAGATGAAAAAATCTCTCTTATTTATGTATTAGCAGGAATAATACAGTAAAAACGGCCATCCTACTAAAAGCAATGTACAGAATCAACAAAATTCTAATTAATTCTAACACAATATTTCATAGAAATTGTAAGGACAATTATCACCTTCAAACAAACAAGCAAACCTCAGGATAGCTAATGCAGTCCTAAATAAAATAAGAACTGCTAAAGATATCACCATTCCTGACAGAATTATACTCTAAGATACAGAAAAAAAATCATAATATTGCCATAAAAGCAGCGCAATTAATCAATACAGTCAAGTTAACGACCATTTATGTAAGTCTACATGTTGGAGAAGGATCCTGTGGACTGAGTTTTCAGATGCTGACAGCACTGCCCTGAGATCTGGTTACCACCCTGTCACAGGCATTGTTATGAATGATGGATCATCTCCTGTACCTATCGGGAATGTTCCCCAATTATCCCTGATCGGTAAATAAGGATTCTGAAGCCCTTGACTGGGCAGAAGTGAGATAGGTGGGGCTTAGATGCCTGGGCTTGTAATCTTGGAGAAGAGGAAGGGGAGAAAGGAGCATCATGGGGCACAATGGACTATGTGCACATGGCCATGAGGATAGACGGAAGGATCAGAAGCAGCCCAGACAGGATGACACATCGGCAAATTATTTGGGATGTATAGCTTATAGACAACAAATGGCCTAGAAATTTAACATCCGCCCAGTTCCAGTGCTTTAAGGGTTATCAGAAGTCTAACAAGTTTCTTTCTTTTATTTGGAAAATAGTGGGTTAGGGAATAACTGACACCATATTAATACTCAGCATTGATCAATATTAGTAGAATAATCAATTCCACAACATCCACACATCTAGGGATACTTGATTGTTTTTCTAAAGATACCAGAGATACAACTGAAAATAAAGACAGTTTCATCAACAAACGGTACTGGTTAAAATGGATGGATGCAGGTTAAAAAATGCAAATATATCCATACATACGACATTGCAAAAACCTCAACTGAAATCTATTAAACAGCTAAGCATGAAATGAGGTACTGTGAATTTGATAGAAGAATAAGTGGAGGATAATATTGAATTCACTGGCAAAGGAATAGACTGCCAAGGGCCAGCCTTGGTTCCTGATAGATATTTTAAGATGCCAGGGACGGCAGGAGTTGCCCACAGTGAGGAACTTGGATTTGAACACCAGACATCCAGACTTAAGGCTTGCCACCTCTCCAACTAAACTATTTAACCCTCTTTAGTCAGGAACTGTCAGAGCCACTTAGCTAATGGCTTCTATTGCTTAATAGCAGGTTGTCTAGTTAGCTCAGAAAGCTGCTATGGCTGTTTCTTGCCTTGCACAACAGACAGAGGTTGTGAAAAGAAAAAAAAAAAAAACTCAGATCCTTTAAATTACATGTTGGCTGAAAAGGATCTCAGGGCTCACTGATTTCTTATAGCCCTCTAGAAAGAAAGCGATGAAAAACCACACATACACATTCATACAAGTGAAACAAGCAAGGGGTTTTGAGCATCAGACAGGAGAACCCTGCATGCAAAGGGGAGGCCAGGAGAAAGAGACTAGGAACTTAGTTGCAAAGGTCAAAGATACAGGTTTTTTTTGTTTTAATGACACGCCAGTCTCTGAATAGCTCTTTTAGACCTTTGCTGCACTGGTTCTGTCAATGTAGCCTTTTAATTCTTCGGAAAGGTTTTAAAACCAAATCACCTGTATTGGCAAGAAACTTTAAACTCGCCATTCTCAGAGACTTAATTGCCAAGGCAGAGGCTGGTATTACTCTAGAACAGGATTTACTCCAAAACAGCTAGCCCGGAGATGTGGTGCAAACAACATAATAGAGAAAGAGTATGTAGAGGCAGATACACGTTTGGCAGATAAAGCAAACAAACTTTTATAAACCTCATAGACACGCAACATACGTCCAATGACGAAACAGAAAGGAGCTCTTATGTACAGACAGTCAATATGATGTGCACACAGATAACCTATAGACCTCAAACGTCAGATGGACAGGTCTATTCTATTTACATATAGATACAAACACATATTTACAATTGGATGCATGGGGTATGTTCTAACAACTTTATTACTTTGAAGCCAGAATAAATAACTCTTAAAACAAGGTCCTCTATGTCCAAAGAATAATGGCCATAAAAGGAATTACCACTAAAAATCAGTACATGGAGGGAGTTACAATAGAATTATTAATTACTTGTCCTAACTACACATTAGTTATGTATGACTCCATTTTAAGTTCAGAACAATCATTTTTATGATATAGACTGACAAGGATTAAGGTAAATAGGATCCAAGGGGTTATAGCAAGATAATTATTTATGTCTTTCCCATTAAAACTGCTTCTAAATTAAACAGCTTTCGGTTATCTATGAGTAAAAGGCAATCATTTTTATTTGTCCTAGTTCTGAGACCTACTGACCTAAAGGGAAGTTTAACTTTAGTCAGTAAATTGGTCTTGGGCCCAACTTCTCCCTAGAGCAAATTATGTGCCTGCCACTGGAGGCTCACAGGCTTTTTATTGCCACTTTATACTTAACTTCTTCAAATTATTTGAGTCATGTCAGAAAATTCATGAAAGCATTAATTCATTGGAGAAGAAATTCATCTTCATAAGGGTCCTGTAGAATGGGTAAATACACAGACTGAGGAGCCTCGTACCATGCCAGATTTATGAGACACACAGAAGCACAAAACGGGGTGTCAGAATGAGGAATCAATTCTGGGCACGGTCTCTGAGATGCTCATATTTATTCCTCAGTATAGACCTTGCAAAATATTGGATTACCCTTCAGAAAGCTCACATACCTTTGACTTCCCGCTTCATATAGCCACTGACAACAGACCTTCTGTAAATTAATTAATTTATGTGAAATTAATCCTAGTGAAGGGATAATACTTAAAATACCTAAACAACAACAACAAGAAGAAAAAAAACAATCAAACAGAAACAGAAGATCAAGAGAACAAATAACCCAATTAAAACTGGAGTACATATTTAACAGAAAATTCTCAAAAAAGGAAGCTCAAGTGACTGAGAAGAAGTCATTATTCTATACATTAACTTACAAAACAAGCTTTTAAGTATTATTTACAATACAAGGCAAATTTTTGGATGATCATTTAAAATATAGTATTACATTGTTTTAATATCATACAATAAGAACCATTCTGTACAAAGGAAAAATGAGCTGATGGATTTTTTAAAGCACAAACACAACATTTGTCTTAAACTGGCAAAGAAAAGTCTATTGGAAAGCATGATACTATTCTTAATGCTTACTGTCTGATTCTATAAAAATATCTGACTAATCATTCAACTTTCTTCTGCTTTTGAAAAAAAATAAAAAGGAATTAGAAAAAGAGCATTAACTGGATTAAATTTGTAAACTAAGGACATTTAGCTAATGCCACAATTTAAAATTAATAAGGAACCAGGAATTCTTTTTTAATGAATACTAGGCAATTGAATTATGTAAAAATGAGGCAAAGTTTTATATTTTGTCAGTGTAAAAAATCCATCACAAAACTGAAATATAAAATTATTTTAATATAATATATAATACAAACTGTTTTTTAATTAAGTTTAGGAAATTTGTTTTTTCACTAATGATCCACACTGTACAAATAAATCCCCATCTTACATTTTATTAAAGTAATAGCTTTATATTACACAAATAAATTTCAAGTATGAGAAATGCATTGCTATAATAATCTTTTACCAAGCCCGCAGTTCTTGGTTTAGAACAAGCCAGTAACGATTTATCAAAGGAAAGCTGAAAGTGTCATGTATGGCGAAAGTTCTACGTATTAAAGAATTGCACAACAGGCTGCAGAGAAATGTGTCTAAAGGCAATACATAATTAAAAAGAACACTTATCTGGTTTTTGTTTGTTTGTTTGATTTCCTATAGGAAATCATGTCTCCAGGATTTCCCTCTTGCCATATAGATATTTACACCCATATTACAGTTTCTCAGAGTTCAGCCATTCTGTTTAGTGGCCACTTTCCAAGGCAGGGACTTGTGCATTAATACAGCATTGTAAACGCTCCAGAGAACTTTCCTAAGGAAAATTAGTACATGGAGAGGCAAGGCCTTTTCTCTTTTTCTGACCATGCGCGCCCCCTGTTGGTGCTGAACACCTCTGCAAGGAGGTTTGTGTCGGGGCTCACAGGCACTGCCCTCAATGTGTCTCTCTCCTCTACAGTAGTAAGTTGCAGTGTCCTCAACTCTCAGGCTGTTCATTTGAAAGTAGAGGATGTTTTGGGAATTCTCTCTGGAGATGGTGAACCGGTGCTCCACAAATAGGCTGTACTCTGTGGTGAAACTATCGGCTTGGTTTCTACTGGTAGCAACCCATTCCAGCCCCTTCCCGGGAGGCTGGCGCACCCAGTGCATGCAGGCATCATCAAAGCTGAATCCAGAGGCTGCGCAGGAGAGTCTCAGAGAACTCCCAGGCTTCACCAAGCCTCCCCCAGACTCCACCAGCTGCCTCTCACACGGGATACCTGCAAGAGCAGAGAATCTTGGTCAGGAAACTGTCACACACAGCCACTGGCCCTCTTACCTCTGGGCACTCACACACTCAGCATCTCTGTGTCCCACGAATTACCATTTAAAAGAGGCAAAAACCAGATCGAGTTGAGCCACACCTTCACGGTGAGAGGTCTGTGTGCGGTGCTGATCACTGAACGGGAAGACTGGGGAACTCAGGACTGAGCCCCTCTGCTGGAGCTACAGGGTCAGCCTGGACTGGCTTTCATGAGCAGAGCCTCTGCGTCCCAATTTGCATTCTTCCTGCTATATCGTCGGCTCTTGGGTTGAAGCAATAGAGGTTATTGTTACAGAAAGCATGGATGAAATGGATGATTTAGCAGCATCTGTGTTACAATATGTTTATTATGTGTATATGATAACACTTCACCATTTTATTTTGATATAGCCAGTTCACCTCCCTTGCCACCCTGATCTACAGAGTGAATCCAGGACAGCCAAAGCGCCACAGAGCTACACTGTCTGGAAAAAAAAATGGAAATGGAAAATCATAATAGTTCCTCAAAAGTTTATGTAAATGCATCTGCCTAGGTGCTCATACATTAAGGAATGGATAACAGAAATGTGATAAATACATGCTTTAGCAAAGTCTCAGGGAGATGACTTCTCAGTGGCAGAAACAGGAAGACCAAGACTATGCTCTAAGGCCAGAAATCAAAGGTGGAGAGGTGATGCTGTATTAGCTTTGGATGGGCTGTGGATTGTCTGTATCACCGTGCACAGCCTCCATTTGCCTCAACACATTCTCTGAATCAGTGGACAAGACTAATAGTACTTGCAGCAGAATGGTTAAGATGATGATAGTAATAATAATAATAATAATAATAATAATAATAATAATAATAATAATAACTCATGTGACTATTCTATTTCCCCTTTTGAGTGAGATTTAAGCATCCTCCTTTGTGTCTTCCTTGTTACTTATCTTCTTTGGGTCTATGAAATGTAGTATGTTTACGCAGTACTATGTGGCTAAGATCTGCTTAGAAGTGAGTATGTATCATGTGTGTCATTCTGGGTCTGGGTTACCTCACTCAGGATGATCTTTTCTAGTTCCATCCATTTGCCTGCAAATTTCACCATTTCCTTGTTTTTAATAGCTGGGTTATTTTGTTGTGTAAATGTACAACAATGTATCCATTCTTCAGCTGAGGGACATCTCAGTTGATTCCAGATCATGGCTATCATGATTAAAGCTTCTATGAACATAGTTGAGCAAATGTCCTGGTTACATGACGGAACAGCCTATGGGTATATACCCAAGAGTGGTATAGCTGGGTCTTGAAGTAGAGCTATTCCCGATTTTATGAAAAAGTACCAGATTGACTTCCAAAGAGATGAATAAAAATGTTCAAGAACTTTATAGAACACCAAATAGATTTTGCCAGAAATAAAAAAAAAATCCTCCCTCCACATAATAATCCAAACACCAAATGTACAGAAAAAAGAGAGAATATTAAAAGCTGCAAGGGATAAAAGGCCAAGTCACATATAAAGACAGACTTATCATAATTACACCTGTCTTCTCACCAGAGACTCTAAAATCCAGAAGGGCCTGGACTTCAGGCTCACAGACACCAAGAGACCACAAAAGTCAACCACAATTACTATACTCAGCAAAACTTTAAAGTGTCATAGAGGAATAAACAAGATATTCCACAACTAAAACAAATTTAAACAGTACCTATCCACAAATCCATCCTTACAGAAGATAGTAGAAGGAAAACATCAACCCAAGGAGGCTAACTGCGCCCAGGAAAAAAAAATGGAAATAAATAACCTCACATCAGCAAAACCAAAAGATGGGAAGCACACTCATACCACACACACACACACACACACACACACACACACACACACACACAACCACGACCAACATCAAAAAAAAAAAAAACAGGAATGAAGAACTAGTGGTCATGAATATTTCTAAAATCATTTGCCACACCTCGCCAATAAAAAGCACAGGCTAAGAGAATAGATGGGAAAACAGGACCCATAATTATGCTACATACAAAAAGCACACCTCAGCAATAAATGTAGATGTTACCTCAGAGTAAAGAGCTGGCAAAAAGTTTTCTAAGCAAACAGACACATGAAATGAGCTGGAATAGCCATTCTAGTATCTAATGTAATAGACTTTCAACCAAAATTAATCAAAAGACACGGAGGACACTTCATACTGACAAAAAAAAAATACAGCAAGATGACATCTCAATTCTGAACATTACTAAAGCTTAAGTCACACACTGACCCCACACATTAATAGCAGGAGACTTCAGCACTCCCCTCTCACCAATGGACAGGTCATCAAGACAGAAACTAAAGGAAGAAATAATGATACTAACGGATGTGATGAATCAAATGGCCCTAACAAATTTCTACACATCATTTCACCCAACACAAAAGAATAATATATACTCTTCTCAGCACCTAATGGAACATTCTCCAAAATTGACTACATAATTGGCTACAAAGCAAGTCTAAACATATAGAAAAAGATTGAAATAATCCCCTGTATCTGTCAGACCATCATGGTTTAAAGCTGGAACTCAACAACAGCAGAAACAACAGAAAACATACAAACTCATGGAAAATGAAGAACTCTAAACAAAGATCACTGTGTCAGGGGAGAAATAAAGAAATTAAAAACTTTCTAGAATTCAATGAAATTGAAGGCAAAACATATTCAAACATATGGGGCACAGCAAAGAGAAGTGGATGGCAGGAAATAAACTCAGGGCTGAAATCAATACCTTAGAAACAAAGAGAGCAATATAAAGAAGCAATGAAACCAGGAGTTGATTCTTGGAGAAAATTACTCCAAATTCTTAAAGAAACAGCTGTCCATCTAGACAATTATATATAGCAAAACTAAGTCAAAGTTTCAGGAAAAAGAATAACTTTCCAAAACAAAAATGGCTAAGGTGACATATGATTCTTCTCTAAAGAGAATATTGAAAAATGAAATGTTTAACCTGAAGAGAATAAACACACTCATTGTCACATGAAATTAGAGAACAATTCCAGAACAGTTAATATAAAGTTCTATGAAAAGACAACAAGCAATCAAATAGAGAACTTAGTATGCTTTTTCTAAAATAACACTTAGTATTGAGTTATTTCACAAAAAAAAAAAAAAACAAAAACATTCAGGGTAGCAGAATGTATTAGAAAATAGGACCATTTGTGTTTCTGCTCTGAGAGAAAACAATCAATGAAACCAGGAGCTGGTTCTTTGTAAAATCAACAAGATAGACAAAGCCTTAGCCAAAATAACTAAAAGGAAGAGAGACACTATCCCAGAAGTAAAAATCCACATATCTATGGGCACTTAATTTTTGACATGAAGCTAAAACTATACAATGGAAAAAAAATGATAGCATCTTCAATAAATGGTGCTTATCCAACTAGACATCTCCATGTAGAAAAATGCAAATAGATCCAGGAGTATCACCCTGTACAAAGAAGCAAGTCCAGGTGGATCAAGGACCTTGACTTAAAATCAGACACACTAAATCTATTAGGCAAGAAAGTGGGAAAGAACCTTGAACTCATTAGAACAGGAGACAACTTTCTGAACAGAACACCAACAGCACAGGCTCTAAGATCAACAATTAATAAATACGATCTCTTGAAATGGAGAAGATTTTGTAATGCAAAGAACACAGCCAACAGAACAAAATGACAGTCTACAGATTAGGAAAAGATCTTCACCAAGCCAACATCTGACACAGGTCAAATATCAAAAATGCATAAAGCACTCACAAAATTAAACACCAACAAACCAAATAATCCAATTTTAAAATGTGGTGCAGCAATTCCTATCCAGAAAGGCAAAGAGGCTAGACATCAGAAGAAGGAGAAAAGAGAGAACAAGTCAGGAGCCTGACACAGAGGACCTCTGAAAAGCTTTGCCCTGCAGACTATCAATGTAGATGCTGAGACTCATGGGCAACCTTTGGGCAGAGTGCAGGGAATCTTATGAAAGAAGTGGGAAACAGTAAGATCTGGAGAGGACAGGAACTCCACAAGGAGAGCAACAGAACCAAAAAATCTGAGCCCAGGGGTCTTTCCTGAGACTGCTATTTCAACCAAGGACTATGCATGGGGATAACCTAAGACCCCTGCACAGATGTATCCCATGGCAGTTCAGTATCCAAGTGGGTTCCATTGTAATAGGAACAGGGACTGTCTCTGACATGAACTGATTGGCCTGCTCTTTAATTATCTCCCCCTGAGGGGGAAGCAGCATTACCAGGCCATAGAAGAAGATAACGCAGCCACTCCTGATGAGACCTAATTGACTAGGATCAGAAGGAAGGAAAAGAAGTCCTCCCCTATCAGTGGACTTGGCGAGGGGCATGCATGCAGAGTTTGGAGGAAGGGAGGGATTGGGACAGGTGGAGGGAGGGAACCATGGGGGGGATACAAAGTGAATAAAGTGTAATTAATAAAGAAAAAAATAAATAAAATGTGGTTCAGACCTAAACAGAATTCTCAAAAGAGGACTTCCAAATGGCCCAAAAGCTCTAACAGAAATGCTCAGTGTTATTAATCATCAGAGAAATGCAAACAAAATGAATCTGAGATCCCATCTCTTACACCCATCAGAATGGCTGAGATCAAAAACTCAAGTGACAGCACATGCTGGTGAGGATGTGGAGAAAAGAGAACATTCTTCCATTGCTGGAGGGAATGCAAATTTGTACAATCATTTTGGAAATCAATCTAGCACTTTCTCAGAAAATTGTTACTAGCTTTACCTCAATACCCAGCCATAGCACTCCTGTCCATATACCCAAAGATACTCTATCAAACAAGTGTACTTTCTCATCTATGTTCATAGCAGCTTTATTCATAATAGGTAGAATCTGATCACAACCCAGATGTCCTTCAACTCAAGAATAAATAAAGAAACTGTGGTGCATTTACACAATGGAATACTACTCAAGTATTAAAAACAAAGAAATTATGAAGTTTTCAGCCAAATTCATTTAACCAGAAAAGGTCATTCTGAGTGAGGTAATGCAGACCAGAAAAACACACATGGCATGTACTCACTGATAAGGAGGTATTTGCCATAAAGTATAGGATAACCATCCTACAACTCACAGAGCTGAAGAAGATAAGGAACAAGGAGTGTCCAACGAGGGATGCGTGAGCCTCACTGAGGAGAAATAAAACAGACAGAGGTAGTGTTTGAAGAGAGGGAACAGGAAAGGAGAGGGAGTGCAGAGAGAGTGAGGGTGGGGAGTAGGGAAAGTTGGTTTGGGGTGGGATTAGGACAGAGAACATGCAGAGAAACAAAGAAACCTTTGCCTCAGGCATTTCTGAAACAGGCTGGAACTTTGAATTGTAGTCTTCTGGGAGGATATGGGGGGGATGTCTCTAGCAGAGACTTTTACTAGTGAGGGACATGGAGCCTGAAGAAGAGAGCCTCTAAGCAGACAAGACTCCTAGTAGAGAGAGGGGAGCAGCAATTCACCCACAAAATCTTTGATCCAGAACTTACCCTGCCTACAAGATGTGCTTGGATAAAGATAGAGCAGAGATAGAGGGAATGTCCAGGCAATGCCTGGCCCAATTTGAAGACCATCCATGGTAGAGAGCCAACACTATTAACAACATTCTTCTCTGCTTGCATACAGGAACCTAGCATAGGTGACCCCTGAGAGGCTCCACACAGCAGCACATCAAAACAGATGCTGAGACTCACAGCCAAACACTGTGTGGAGCACAAGGAGTCTTGTGGAAGAGTGGGAAGAATAGAGGACCTGGAGGGAACAGGAGCTCCACAGGAAGACCAACATAGCCAACCAGGGCCCAGAGATGGCCTGCAGAGACTGAAACACCAACCAAGGACCTTGTATGGACTGGACCTAGCCACCTATACATATTTAAACTGTGAACAGCTTGGTATTCATGTGGGTTCCTTCATAAGGGGAGCATGGGCTGTCTTGGAAACTAGTCTCTTGCATGCTTTTCTGTCACTTGCCTATGGTAGGGATGCCTTTGCCAGGCCAGTGTGGTAGAGGATGTGCTCAATCCTGATAGGACTTGACTTGCTGGGATGGGTAGGGGCAGGGAGGGGGTGCTTTTCTAATGGGGAGGAGAAGAGAAATACTGGAAAGAGAGGAAAGTGGGACCTGTAGGAGTGGATGGAGGGGGCTACAATTGGAATGTAAATTGAAAAAAAAAATGAGTGCATGCATGCTAAAGCCAAATTTCCTGCATCCATGTCTTTTGTGAAGGCAACATCCAGAGGATAAGAAGCAACCGAAGGGTGTGGCCCAGATGGAGAATAACCATTTCCACCTCCAAGGATGCAACCAATAAAACCCCACAGAGATGTTTCTTGCTTCATGAGATTCTAGTTAATTCAAGATGTAGTTTAGTTATGTTATGCCCTGTAATATAGCCATTGCAACATTATAAGGCATAATACCACTGAAAACCATATTCTCCCAAAGAAGAGATTTAAAAAGAGATAGATTTTATAACTCACGGTGAGATTATGTTATTCCCTAAAGGTACACAAAAAGTTCAAATTATAATTTCTACCTTGAATCTTTACCATGAAGTATTTAACATATACTTTGGGGAAAGTTTATAAGGCATCTATGAGTGGAGAGTATAACAAGTTTGCTCCAAAGCCTTCATATCAGAGAAAAATAAATTATTTGCTTTTTCTGTACATGAGAGAAGGAATAATCTAAGATTTGAAAGTAAAAAAAAAATTGGCCACTTTTCTTTGTGTTTGGGATTCCCTCATCTGACGTTCAGAACCCTGTTTGGAAATCTCTCCTCAATGTAGTGTAATGTATCTGGACACATCAAAATTTCATCTGCAGCAGGGATCAGACAAGTCCTTGCATCTAGGTCTTACAGCCTTTTGACAGATACCATTCCATTTCAACAGAGTGTCCCAATCTCTTCATAGTACCGAAGTGGAAGATTCCCCTGCCTTCTGATGAATGCCTTCTTTCCAGTTGGAGGAGACAGCAGGGGCTTTATGAAGTCACTAGTATTTCAAGATGAATTTTAAGTTAAAAGAAGTCTTGTCAAGGCTCCAACACAGAATTGTCTGAGGGTATTCATGCCTGCCAAAATGCATTCCTTCTATGCTTGCATCTATATGAAGCACGTGATATTCATTTCCACAAGGAGGGTATTTCTGATAGAGAATATGTAATATTAATGCTCTGAGCGAAAGAGAATTTTTGCTGAGTCAGTCCTTTGAGATTACCAAGTAGCACAGGTATCCATGCTGGTTGTTTATTCACCAACTGATATGAAACCAAATCCTCTACAGAGAAAGAGTGATCATGCAGAATCCAATGGACTAAGAGAGTTGAAGTTGTATCAGTGTAAGTCCATGTTCTGTAAAGGCTTGAGACTGTAGGGCATGGTACTGAGACTCAGAAAGAAGGAAATATGGAACCAGAAATACATACATAATCTCAGAACCTTCCTCAATACTCATGTACATACATTGAGTCCATAAACTAGTTCTGTGAAAAATAATATGGTCGTACTTTGACTAGCTTACAGGAATTAAATTTAGGCATCAGTACAGTATAATAAAAAAAAGTCTTACATTCTAAGAGACTGGAACGTCTTTTGGAACACATCCAAATTTAACATCACACTTAGATGTCACTTAAGGTGTAAGAATATGAAAGGAGTTTTTGTTTGCCCACATGTTTTTGATTTGGCTTTTACTTTTCACATTCATATGATAGTTTATTTCCTGCTATCTAGCAAAAGTTCCAGTCTCTAAGAATTCAGAGATATTTTTCATAATGCCACATCAGAGATTTCCCTTTTATTTATTTTTTTTTTTTATAAAAGAAGAAAGATATTAATGGATGTAGTCCCTGGCAAAGAACTAGTCAAGGAACAGGCACAGTGGTGCATTTCTGTAATCACAGCACTCTGGGAGGCAATGCAGACTAATCTCTGTGAGTTTGAGGCCAGGGTGGTCTACAAAGCAAGTCCAGGACAGCAAAGGCTACACAGGGAAACCCTGTCTTCAAGAACAAAACGAAGCAAAACAAAGAAAGGAAGAAACAAAAACTAGTGAATGTATGTTGTATTGTGGGCGATCCTAAATCAGCATCACTTTATTCCAAGTGGTCCCCTGGAAAGCTGACATAGGTACTATAGGTCTCTGAGGAGGAGGCAGACAAAGAGACACTCAGAATGACAGTTTCTCAGCAAAACTTTAGACTCATCTTCTCTGTGTTCTCAGTTCCCAGGCAGCTTCCTGCTCCTTCAGGTTTTGTGACACACTCAGGATGTGGTTGCAACACTGTGTCTTGCACAGTAATAGACCGCAGAGTCCTCAGATGTCAGGCTGCGGAGCTCCATGTAGGCTGTGCTGGAGGATGTGTCTGCAGTCAGTTTGGCCTTGTCCTGGAACTTCTGAGTGTATTTAGTACTACCATCTTCAGGATCAATCCTTCCAATCCACTCCAGCCCCTGTCCAGGCCTCTGCTTCACCCAGTGCATATAGTAATCAATGAAAGTGTATCCAGAAGCCTTGCAGGACAGCTTCACTGAGGCCCCTGGACTCCCCACCACAGCCCCAGACTGCTGCAGCTGGACCTGGGAGTGGACACCTGTGGAGAGAAAGGCAGAGTGGATGGCAGTGTCATCTCAGCCCCTGTCTTCACCTCAGGGTTGGAACTGGGGAGCCCCTTACCTGTAGATGCTGCCACCAGGAAGAGGATCCAGCTCCATCCCATGGTGAAGGCCAGAGTGTTCACTGACTGTGGGGAGGACACTGAGTACAAGTTGTTATAGGGTGGGAACAGCCCTGTATTTGCAACCATAGAAATTTGCATATTCATGAGCATGATATTGCTTGTATAAGGACTGAGTCAAACTGGAGAAGAAGGAGATACAGGACACCTGTGACTGGCAGCAGGATGCTGAGGTCCAAGTCCTAATCCTCTCTGAGGAAATGCATCCCACACCCCTTCCCTGAGCCCTGTGCAGATGCTGTGGATGCACATCAGGGCCTCAGCTCTCAACAGATTCCTCCGCCTGAGGCAGTTGCTCCACTTGTGACAGTATTATTGGACTGATACATTGTTGTTGGCTGTGTCGATGATGATAATGTCTAGAAATTTCTACACACTCCCAGCTTGTGGGGATTTCCAACCTTTCAGATACATGCTATAAAGACTGACCCTTCCAGCAGGTTCAATACAAAGAACGACAAAAGGGGGGAAACGCACATCAATATTTACTGCAGCACTCTCTACAATTATTCTACATAATTCTACAAACTGAATTATGACAATAAACTTCTTGTCTGTCAAAAGGTAATTTCATCAAGAAGACATGATTATATAAAATACAGCAGAAACAAGCTACAGAAAGGAAATTACGTCACTCTTACAAAATCTATAAAACTGGAAGTAACTTTATTAATTAAGATCTTAGTAGACACACAGACTTATGAGTCTCTCATTAGTACTTCTTAGATCTTTCCCGGTTATACATATATGTATGCAAATATATAATGAAATAAAATGAAATTGTGTAGCAGAATAAAGGGAAAATACGAGTGGCAAGAAAAAGGATAGGGATTGTAGAGGAAACATGCATAGAGCACAATATACACAGTAATGAAAACTCTAAACATATGTAAAAGGAGTTATTTTCTTTTCTCATAGTGATTTTGTTTGATTTTGAAAGTTGTATCTATGTATGAGATATACTACTATCTTATCTCCTCACTATCCCCCTTTAGCTCCTCTTGAGACGTCCTGACCTCTTTTGTTTCATTAAGTAGTAGCATAGTAGTCCAGTCAGTGTTGTCTATGTACATGTTGGGAATCACTAGCACATAGGGAACCTACAGAAATCTTCCAAAGTGAAAGGATTATATCTTTATTACAGGTCACCAAATGCCAATAGACCTTCAGCTTGGTGTGGGCCCTCAAGAGCTTCTCCCAATCCTAGTTGTGATACATTTCTCTAAGTTGTATTGTTACATGTTGTTAGCAGTGGGAGTTGGACATGCATGCACCAAGGGGGAAATGTCAGCCTCAGAGGACAACTTGTGAAGTTCAGGTCTCTCCTTCTACCCTGTGGATCCAAGGATCAAATATAAATGCTCAAGCTTGCTAGTAGATACATTTACCTGCTCAGCTAATTCACAGGCTTCCATGCTGTGACTTTGAATGGCTTGATTTGCTCAGGTCCTGTTCAGGTAACTGCATCTTCTGTGAGTTCCTGTGCACAATGGCCATGCCAGCTCCTCAGACAGCGTTCCATGTCTATCCAGCCCACATTCTGTGTTATACATTCTCTCCAGTCCCTCTTTGAGATGGTGCTGGGTGTTGTGGGGAAGATTACATAAAATCACATCTGAGGCTGAGTACTCTGTCAACTGTTCTCAGAACTTTGACCGCTCGTGAATCATTACACAGCACACACCATTAGCAATATGATTAAAGTCTGCAAGGCTTACATCATCTTTACCATGAGATTCTGAATAAGTTTACCCGGGATGAAGTACTTCCTATGGAATAGGCAGCATATGCACATAGAAAGCAGTTGGTCAGTATGTAACAGCCAGGCACTGCTGGGTACACAGAAGGCAGAATCAAATTTCAGGCACTGTGAAAGATCCCTGGGGCCTTTCCTTTCCCTGAAGGCTGCCCAGAACCTTCCTGTAGCAGGAAACCTAGCCAGCAGGGAGAATTTTATGTTAAGTTCAATGATGATTCTCCATGACCTGCAGCAAAAGTCCTTAGCGAACAGTAAAATGAAGATCAAAAAGATAATGTTTAATTTTACCTCATGATGAGTGGTTAAAGTCTGCCACTAAAGTCCTTAGGTAACAGTGAAGTAGAATTAAAAACTTACTTGAGGTGAAAAGACTATAAAAAAAATGAAAACAAAAGCATGCATGGACAGCAGAAAAGTGGAGTACTTTCTGGCAGGTTGAAGTAAGTATAAACTACCTTGTAGTGACTTTGGAGACCAGTTTGGAGATTTCTCCAAAATCGAATGTAACTGTGCTAAAGCTCCCAAGAGTGTACTCACATGACTTTACATCCCATTAGAGAGAAACTTGCACATTCGTGTTTACTGATGCTCAATTCACAGCAGAAAAAGAATGGAATCATCCTAGATTTCCAACAATGAACAAAGGGATAATGATAATGTGCGACATAAAGAGAATCAGGTTTTATTCGGTGGTAAAACACTCATTATGAAGTCTATAGATAAGTGGATGGAAGTGGAAAAATACTCATAGTGCGGCAACCCGGGTCACAAAGACAATTCTTCAGGCCCTCAGTCAGATGTAGACCCAGATTTGAACATGTGGTATTGTGTGTTTAATTTAATTTGTAGAAGCTAGGAGACTAGGAATGGGCCCTTACTGTCTGAGAAATTAAGGGAGACATCATAGTAAAATGTACATAAAATGAAAGCAGATGGGCAGATACTGGAGACCTAAAGATTCAAGCATGAAGTGGTATTAGAAAGAGGAGAAATGAAGTGTTGGTGTAGATTAAATCAAAATTCAGAAATGTAATGAAGCAATATTGAAATAGAGGATCCTGAAACATATCATAAACCTTTAGAGGATATAGAATGGCTGTGTAATGAGAAACCCAATCCGGGATATTGGGAGTAAAGCAAAGCAGACTATGGGAGATCAAAAACATAAATTACAATTTTATTTCTATGATGAAAATATCAGTAAATAATGAACAGTTCACAGTTGCCTGGTTTTATTTATATTTGGATTTTTCTTTGTGCTGATGGAATAATTTTATGTTCAGGTTATGGTATAGTTCTATGGATCTGGTGAGAGAGCATTTTTTTTTCAAAAATAATAATAAAGAAAAGTATATAAAAACTGGTAATAAATAAGATGAGGCTAGTGGTTTAGTTATTAATATTGTCTCAGTGTCTGGTTATGATCATTCTGTGTGGTTATGTGAAATATATGACTGCAGAAAGCTGAGTATAAAACACGTGGTGACTTAATGTTGTATTGAACTTGTGAAACTTTGATCAGAGGTATCCGGATGGGTGGGCAGTACTGCTCCCAGAAGACACGAGGTATTAATTGAACACCTCTGTGCCAGTCATATAATAATTCCCTTTGCATTAAAGGTCACAGAGGCCCTACAACTGCTGAGTATGAGGAGTTACCATTCCTCCTAGTTGCCTACAGGAACTCAATACTTAGATCTTGTTTCTGAGAAAGAATTGGAAAAAAAAATTAATAGACTGTAAAAGCAGAAGAGACAGATGACTTCAAGGAACAGGGTTTTCCAGACACAGAAGGGCTGATGCACAGGTAACTCACAGAGCCTGAAGCAAGTCCAGCCAGGTGAGGGCACCGTGCGCAGTGAGGGACATCAGCTGTCACCCTTCAACAAGAAGTCCCTACCACGTCCCTAACACTGACACTCACTTACAAAGGATAAATTGTTTTTCTCTGAGGAAGCCTCTTTGGGTATTTCAACCATACTTAAGGCTGGACACAAGTCCAGCAGTAGATGGCCTGTGCAAAATGAATTCAACGCTACTATTGTAGATATTTTACTTTTGTACCTTTATTGGTCTTTTACCTATATATCATAGTTCCACAGTTGAGTGTTTTCATGGGTTATGTATTTATATGTTTCTTGTTTTTATTTCTTAGTTTTTATTAATGCCTACTATTTTAAGCTTCTCTTTTTTGTCTACTTGTTTGCTTTCTACAGAGAGAAGAAAATGTGTTTATTTGATTGGGTTGGAAAGTAGGAATGCTCTGAGAGAAGTTGGGGGGAGGGAATTCAGTGATCTAAATAATATATGATCGTTAAAGTTTTATAAAGGTAAAATAACTGAATAAATAAACAAGAGAATACAAATCCATTATGAAGAGCTTAACAACATATCTTCACTGTATTTGGCCTGGGAAGATCACAACTCAATCACATCAGGAGCAGGTCAGCTAATCTCACTCAGAAGGGAAGACAGAATAGACAGAAGTAGTGGCTGAAGAGAGGGAACAAGGGAGGAGAGGGGATGTAGAGAGCTAAGAGAGTGGAGATCAGACCTGTAAGTGCGAGGGAAAAAGGACAGACCACCATTAGTGAAAAGAGAAACTGAGGGTGGAGTACCTCTAGACCTAACTCAGGGTAAGCTCCTGGGAGGATATGAGGGGAATTCAAGCAGAGACTCCTAGTAGCAGATGACTTAAAGGCTGAAGGAGACAACCTCTAAATAGACTAGGCTCCTAGTAGATGGAGGGGAACACCAACCCACCCACAAATACCTCAAACCCAAATTCATCCTGCATTCAAGATGTGTAGGGGAAAAGTTAGAGCAGTTAGAGCAGATATTGAGGGAATACCCAACCAAAGCCTGACCAATCCAAGTACCCGCATCGAGGGAGAGTGCTAACCTCTGACACTAGGAATGAAACTCTGCTAAGTTTTCAGAAGAAGCTTGTCAAAGATGCCTTCTGAGTGACTCTATCCAGCAGTACCTCAAAGCAAATGCTGAAACTCACAGCCAAACATTTGGCCACGAGTATTGAGTCTTATGGAAAAGTGGGAGGAAAGAGAAAATGAACTGGAAGTGAGAGGAGTTCCAGAAAACCAACAGAGCCAACCAACTAGGCCACAGAGGTGCTTGCTGAGACTGAAGAATCAACCAAGGTCCATGCAGGAAGTGTACCTAGGCCCCCTGCTAAGTTGTAGCAGATGGGGAGCTTAGGCTTCATGTGGGTCCTCTAGTAAAAAAAAGAGGCGGCTGCTTTGGACATGGACTCACTAGTTTTTTGATCACTTTCCCCTGGTGGGACTGCCTTTCAGGCCACAGGGAAAGAGGAAATGCTCAGTCTTGATGCAACTTGATGAACTAGGGTGAACGGGAAAGGATGCTCCCCTTTCCTGAGGAAAATGCATGGGTAGAAGGTGGAGGATGGGAGATAGGAAAGGTGGGACTAGGAGGGGAGGAAGGATGGGGCTACAACCAGGATGTAAAGTGAATGAAAAACGAATAAATTCAAAAGAGGAAGAGAGACAGAGACAGAGAGAGAACCAGGGAGACTGGGGAGTTCCACACTTCACCTCATGTCTCTACATGGGATTATTGGCTCCATTGTGCCCCCTGCTGGTCATGAGCTCTTTGCCGGTTGACTTGTCATGGATTACACTGAAGTGGCACTGTCTGGCTTAAACTGTAACATATCCCTGCAAATTCAGTGTTCACAGTGTTTAGTTGCACAGTTAAATTGCTAACAATTAAGCTGGAGAGGCTGGCTGGATATTTCAGAAGTTGAATTTAAATTCTATGCTTATTTTATCATCAATATCCAAGCTCTTTGTTGGTATCAACTGGATCCGTCTCTTACATTGCTCATTGTTAGTAAGATAATAACAGAGAGCAGGGTCTCTGGTGCCTTCATCAGACTGTTCCTGTGGAGAAGTGCATGAGGTCAGAGAACTACAATGAGCATTATGAGCAGATGCCCTCTCTCTCCCTAGGTATCTGTGTATGAATTCCTGAGACAGTCATATACAAAAGTCAACAGAAAGTGGAGGAGCCACTGTGGTACCCACAGATTAGTCAACAACTCCAGAAAAATACATTCACGTTGAGAAGGAACTAGAAATCAAGGTAATGTATACCATGACTCATTTCTCCCTAGTACTGTGTTTGCATACATTTAAAGAAAAGAGGCAAGAGAGGAGATCGCTTTAAAAAGCATTCTCATGGGTGGAGTTTACACAACTTTATCTCTCTCTGTCTGCCTTTTCAAGTCCAGGGTCCTCTTATTCTTAGAAAGAACATGTGATTAAAGCTGATTAGGAGCTAAACATTTTCACTGGTGACGGATATTTTGCGATGTGGTCACAGGAATGAAAGGAACCAACAGAATTTTGTGTGTATATCTGGTTATATGTGTGAAGTGTAGCTACACATTTTAAGAGAAAACATGTATGATATGGAAATTCAGACTCTTAATATGGTTGCTCCAACGTCAGGATCCCAAATCAGATGCATCTAATATTGCAGGAGAAAGGAAGCTGGGAGCATGTGGATGCATGCCTTCTTTTGTATCACTGGTGAGAACTGATATGATGTCCAGTGGACTGTCAGTATACAAGGAATCACCCTCAGGGAAACATCATCTTCTCATTATAGACATTTTTTCCCTTTAATTTAGGTGCCGAAGGTATTTATCTTGGCTTTCGGTTTTGTTGTTCTGCTAGGAAGTGTGTATAATTGTACATGTCATACTCCAGTATTGGGGTGGGGGGGTGTGCTATGGCTAGCATGGGTGGCAGCGTGCAGGGCTTTTGTCTGATGAAGCAGTGAGGATTTACAAAGACATTTCCTCTCATCATAAAATGTATTGTTCCAAAAAGTACAGACTCGGTGAGAGTATAACAGAATGACCCGGGATTTTCCTCCTGGGTAAGCTAATGTGAGGATCACAACACATGTGCTGAGCTAGTGTAGTATGTGTGGAACTGTGCAAGAGTTTTCGTGAGGACATGTAGATATATTGATTTCCAGTGTTCCCCCATTCCACGTTTACTCTATGGGTCATTCTGCCAGGGCCCTGTTTCATTGATCGAAATGTGCCAGAGTCCCTCCTGTAACTGAGCCATATTTGATGTTTCTGAATACCACTCAAGGGTCTTGGAACCACTTACACTATTCCATAGCCCTTCTACATGAGGGACTGTATCTAGAATGCGGCTCAGATCTCCTCACTGGTGCATTACAGATTGATATACCATGGTTTCCTTAACGGTCAGATATCTCGGCTGCAGAAAAAAGAATTGGCTATATCTCTGGAGATCTCCAGCACAGCAAACGTTATAGACAACATCTGCAGCTCCGTCCTCTTGGAGACTATCATGACTCAGCTGTAGGGATCACTAAACAGGCTTCAGCAGAGCACCGAGGATGACTGTGACACCCAAGTCTTTCAAAGACCGAAGGAGGTCGTCACGGCTCCCTGTGGCCAGGGTTCTGCAGCAGCCTTGCAATTACAGGGCAGGATATTGTGTCTAGAGAAGACTGTTAGTGTGGAATCAATTATAGGTGGTTGATTTCTGAACCTACCCTCATTCAACAGCACTGTAGTTCTTCTTCTAGGAATTAGATGTTGATTTCTACCTAGGAAATTGGCCCAATTATGGCAGACACCTGTACTGACATTAACAGCAACATGGGGATATAGGGAACATGAACATGTCCCTAATTTAATACCTTTGTGCTCTTTGACTCTTGTGTGCAAGGGGATTAGGAGTTTCGCTGTGCAATGACAATTAATTCTTGGTCCTTTTGTTTTTCCTCAATAATTACCACAAGCTTTGAATGATTCTTCAGGTTACTCTTTAAATCCGTTCAGCCCCGAGGCAGCTTCTTAGCCCTGGCACACCTCAGATGTGGGCTGTGACACTGCCTTGCACAGTAATAGACTCCAGAGTCCTCAGATGTCAGGCTGCTGAGCTCCATGAAGTCTGTGTTGGACATGGTGTCTGCATCTGATATGGCTCTGTCCTCCAATTTCTTTCCATAGTTTGTTCTGCTCATGTTTGGGAGTGGGTTTCCAAAGAATTCAAGCCCATGTTCAGGCTTCTGCATCACCCAACTCATATAGGAAATGGGGAAGCTCTCTGAGACAACATCCTTGCAGGACACACTTACTGAAGCTCTTGGACTCCTCAGTTCAGGCCCAGACTGCAGATGAACCTGTGAATATGGAAAAGATGCCATTGTCAGTTCAGTCCCCATCTCCCCATAAGACTTGGTCTCAGGAATGCACTTGGCTGTAGCTGCTGCCACAGGCACAGGATGATCAGCTCCAGTGCATGCTGAGAACCTGTGGCTCAGGGATCAGTTACAGGAGGCTGCTCATGTGGTGCTGTGGGGCATGTGGACATTCTTGTATTTACTACCATAGAACTCTAACATATTCGTGAGGTAGCATACTTCTTAGATCAAGACCTGATCCAGATTGAGACAGAGCAGGTGGTAGATTTTCTGGGTACCTTCCATGGGTAGGGAGGACAGGGTATCTGCGAGAGACCAGAGAAGGACTGTGTTAAGAATACATTGTATACATTTTTTTTTAATTTTCAATAAAATTAAGAGTACCAGGCATGTATTCCCTTCTGTCTCATGACAAATTCATTAAAAAAAAAAAACCTGTTGTTTTCCCAGAAAAATTTTGGGGAAGCAAACACTAAGCTTGCATGTGTGGTAACTATTAACCTATTAACCTAGTCTAAAGACTATGGCTGGGAAGTAATAGGACCTAGGTTAGAATGTACTGCTGAGACCTTCTATGGATGCATAGCAAAATGGAGATAAAATCAAACTTCCTTATAAACATTTATGTTTTTACTAACAGTCCTGCTCTCAGCATAGGTCAGAGAAACTTCTTCCTTCTCCTTCCATTCCTCTGTTCCTCCACCTCCTTTTTTCTTTTCTTCCCTTCCTTTCTTTCTTTTTTGCCTTCCTTCCTCTCTTTCTTTCTTTCTTTCTTTCTTTCTTCCTTCCTCTCTTTCTTTCTTTCTTTCTTTCTTTTTCTCTCTCTCTCTTTCTTTCTTTCTTTCTTTCTTTCTTTCTTTCTTTCTTTCTTTCTTTCTTTCTTTCTTTCTTTCGCATGATGGTAAGTGCAGACATCCAACCAAGGTGTAAAGGTGTTGGAAACAGGTGACTCTGTTGAGTATTGAATACTAGATGATACATTGGTAGCACCTCCTCTAAGGGTTGGTGACGATCATGGAAAATGAGGTGGAAAGATTCTAAGAGCCAGAGTATGGAGAGGAGTGTTATGAAACGTCATCTTTTGGAAATGAAAGGTCCATCACATCCATGAACATTGAGAAGCTGTGGTTACCTGCACCTAAGAAAGTTGTGAGAACAGGAAGGGCAATGGCTGAGCATGAGAAGGGATCAACCAGAGCAGTAGTTGAAGGAAAGAGTGTGATCAGAGGTGAATGTGGTCACAATACCTCTCACAAGTAGAATTGTTACAATTAAACTAGGAGACGTTTCCTCTCACTGTGCTCTGTTTCTTTGTTCTGGTGAACATTTCCTTTGATGCACACACGTGGACTCCTTGACGTGCTATCTGTATTTAGCATCATGTGAGATGATGTTTTATGTTATTACCACAAAAATATATTTTTGTAATACATTTGTTTGTACAAATGGTACTTGCTTTTTGTCTTGCAGCTACTTTTAAAGGAAGTGTCTATATAAAAACTAGCACAGGTCTATGGAGAGGTAAGGGTGTTTGTTTGGAAATCGCTGTGATTCCAACAACCATTAAATACAATGAGGCTTTAGACTTCCGGTGTTAAACAAAACCATGTGCAGGACACATCAAGTAGAGGGGAGATTCACATGTCTCGTCTCCAAGTAAATAATGTCATTTCTGTCTTTTCATGTCACAAAGGAATTGACAATGGACACATACAGGTAAGTCAATTACAAATGCACATGCTGCAGCACTGTCTCTGTTCTCCCTGTGAACTCTGCGCCCCCTGCTGGCTCTGAGCGTGCCTGAAGAAAGGTTTAGATGGATTCACACTTAGGTCTCTCCCTGTGTCCTGTACAGTTATAATCGGTGGTGTCTTCATCTCTTAATATGTTCATTTGTGGGTAGACACTACTATTAGAATGATCTCTTGAAGGAGCAAATCGGCCTTTCATACCCACCGCATAGTGTGTTTCATAATTAATAGCTTTGTCTGTAATTTGGGCCATACATTCCAGCCCCTTCCCTGGAGCCTGGCAGGCACAGCTCATCCTTGAAGCTGAATCCAGAGCCTTCACAGGAGAGTTTTAGGAATCTTCCGTGTTGCTCCATGCTGCTTCCTGACTGCATTGGCCACACATCAATCTGGACACCTGGAAACACAGAGAATCTTCTCAGTTAAATGTCCCAAATGTCTCTCTCACTCAAATCCACTCACACACTCATTTCTTACTATGTGTGACTTATCTTTTAAAGGAAAAACGAGGAGCACCAAGCTAAGTCTCAACTCCATGTTCTGTGTTCAGTTTTGATCACAGCATAGGAAGTTCCTTGTGTCGAAAGGTGGGTGCCTCTGTCAGAACTATAGGGTCAGGGTTGATTTTCATGAGCAGAGAAAACATTATTTGCATATCTCCCTGCTATATCATGACCTCAAGGCATGGGGCGTTAGAACAGACAATATTTTTGTTGTCTAAGATGAAATAAGAACTAAAGTCCCTTAATCCCTTAGAGACATAATTCAGTTTTTTTGCATGTTTGAACCCTGAGTTCATTCCCAGCTCTGGATAGGTAGGAAACACATAGGGGCAGGAGATTCATATGTTTGGTTTATGATTAGGCTATATGAAACCTTGTCTCAAAAGGGAAAAAGAAAGATGAAAGAAAAAGAAATGTTACCTAGTAAGAATTTATAGTTATAAATAATACAACTTTGGAGACATACTTGATTGTGGTTTGTACATGTAAACTCCTCTGCTGTCTTAGTAGATATTATCAAATACATTTGTACGTATTTAAGACATAAAACTGTTTATTAATTACACTTTATTCACTTTGAAACCCCCCTGTGGTTCTCTCCCTCCTCCCGTCCTATTCCTTCCCTTCCTCCACCCTCTGCATGCATGCCCCTCTCCAAGTCCACTGATAGGGGAGGACTTCTTTTCCTTCCTTCTGATCCTAGTCAATTGGTCTCATCAGGAGTGGTCTTCTTCTGTGGCCTGGTAATGCTGCTTCCCCCTCAGGGAGAGATAATTAAAGAGCAGGCCAATCAGTTCATGTCAGAGACAGTCCCTGTTCCTATTACAATGGAACCCACTTGGATACTGAACTGCCATGGGCTACATCTGTGCAGGTGTCTTAGGTTATCTATATGCATAGTTCTTGGTTGGAATAGCAGTCTCAGGAAAGACCCTGTGCTCATATTTTTTGGTTCTGTTGCTCTCCTTGTGGAGTTCCTGTCCTCTCCAGATCTTACTGTTTCCCACTTCTTTCCTAAGATTCCCTGCACTCTGCCCAAAGGTAGCCCATAAGTCTCAGCATCTACATTGATAGTCTGCAGGGCAGAGCTTTTCAGAGGTCCTCTGTGTCAGGCTCCTGACTTATTCCCTCTTTTCTCCTTCTTCTGATATCTAGCCTCTTTGCCTTTCTGGATAGGAATTGAGCATTTTAGGAAGAGTCCTCCCTCTTGATTAGTTCCTTTAGGTGTACAGTTTTTAGTAGGTTTATCCTATATTATATGTCTATATGAGTGAGTATATACCGTGTGCATATTTCTGCTTCTGGGATAGCTCACTCAGGATGATCTTTTCCAGATCCCACCATTTACCTGCAAATTTCATGATTTCCTTGTTTTTTTTTTTTTATTGCTGAGTAATATTCCATTGTGTATATATACCACAATTAAAAAAGAAAAAAGAAAAGAAAAGGAAAAAGAATTATGGCATCACCCGATCTTTTGGTTCCAGAGGAGAGAATTTGTCAAGGAAGAGCTGGTTTCATCTAACCAAATACTTATTAATCTGCAACAAGGTAGCCAGGTCTACAAATTTCCTCAAAGTGATATTAAAATATATTTACGGAGAGAGCAAGGTGGTATTTCTACACAGATGAATATGTAAATCTCTGAGTTTGTGAGCATCTGTGGTGGAGAATAAGAATGAGACTGTGGATACAGAGCCATGAATTAATTAAACATTTCAAAGGAAAAAAAGAATTGTAATAATCTTCATTATTTTGTGACCTCCCTTATCATTAGACTAGGGGAGGGACATAGGCCCAGAGAGAGGGAGGGTCGGATTGGGAGTGGTTAGGGGAGGGGGGCTACAGCTCTGATACAAAGTGTATAAACTGTAATTAATACAATTAAAATTAAAAATTAAAAAAAGACATAAAAACTGAAATATGATAATTTCAGGGGATGTTGTAAAAGATGCAGTGAATAGTCAATCCTACATTGAATTAAGGATGAACATAAGGCTGAGGCCATAGCTCAGTATTATGGTATAACATGCATAAACTCAAATTTGACTCTCAAGAATATAAAACAAATTCATCACAAAATATAGGTACTATCTGAGATCACTAATTATTCAGCAACGAGAACAGATTGAAGACCTGTGTTTTCCACTTAGCTTCTCCAGAGCAGACATCTCCCGTGCACCATGCAGTCTAAACTCTCCCCAACACGAAGACAGTGTCATCACTTCTGTGCTCTCCCTAAGGTACCATGTAGGACTGCCTTTTCCCTGCCATGTCCTGCTCTCCAGATCCTCAAGGACTTGCTTTTTTCCACCAACAGCCAGGCCTGCGTTTTCTCACAGAAAAGACCCACCTGACTATTTAGAGACTTGCCTTTCCTGCACAACCAGCTAGTCCAGCTTCTTCCTATCCCACAGTCTGCTCACTTCCTGTGATGACCTCCCTGTCCTACATACATTGTGTTGTCTTTGCTCTCTCACACACCTTCGATAAGGAGGGATAATAATGACGTACGAGAATTAATTCCAGTAGGAAAAGAAATATCCTAGCAAAAAGAGAAACATTCCAAACAGCTTTTTCTTTCTTTCTTTCTTTTTGCTTGATTTATTTTTATTTTTCATTTTTTTTATATTTCATTTTTCATTTTTATTAGATACATTTTATTAACTCTGTTTCCCAGCTGTATCCTCCTCCCTCATTCCCTCCCAACCCCTCCCTCCCTCATCTCCTCCCTGCCCCTTTCCAAGTCCACTCATTGGGGAGGACC